CTCGAGGGCCAAAGTGGCCCCTGAAGTCTTTTTTAGGGGCCAAGTTTTAGGAAAGGGGAGAAAAAAATGCGTTAGAGTACGGAGGAAAATAAAGCAGTTTATTAGGATCTATGATAAAAATTGATAGTAAGTGCTTTTTGAAGTGTTTCTACTCAAAAAAGTTTCTTTTGAATTAGGTACTAGTATAAAGGACCCGTAAATTACAAGAGAACAATCTATAGGCATACACGACGTAGTCAATGATCAAGGGTTCGCAATGCGTTACAGGGCGATTTCCAGCACGGTCAGCCATTTGGAAGTTTCCCGCTGTGAGAGAATCAATACAGTAAAGGAAACGGATGGATTGACTTCTTTTCTTATGTTACATGTTTTAGAAGGAAAGATCTTTCGATATAATTTCCTAGAAGGACATTGTGTGACAAAATAACTGTTGTTGATCGTCAACGCACAGAAATGTTGTCGCCATAATGGCGACTGAGCCAGAAGTTTTGGTCGCCAAAGATGAAATGGTAATTGCATTGGCCATCGTATCGGTCGCAATTTGGAGACCTGGGATGGCTTTTAAAATACTATGCCTGTGTTAAGCGTGCAGCCTTGTACAAGAAAAGGGCCAAATTGGCCCTTTTTCGTATTTCTGGGGACCATCTCTGATTGCAACGTGGGATTCCCGCAATGGCGCGGTCTGGCGGAAACACTGCCGCCGGCTTATATGTCTGCTGACATAGCTTATCAGCAACAAAAACGACACATCCTGTAAGAAAGACATGCTTTATTTAATCTGTAATAATATCTGTCCCCCTCCTCTCTTCCGCAGTTTCCTCCATGGGAAACTAAAATAGCTACGTTTACCTACTTTTCAGTTTCTCTTAACCTCCAACGCAGATGCTCTTTGGGTTGAAAGAGAGATTGCGTGCCGAGCTCAAAAATCGCCTGCATAGGAGGCTGAGTCTCTTTACAAATTTGATTTAACCAATAACGTTATAAGATGTTTATAACTAACTTTATTTGTACCAAAAAAAATGTGCACATGCAAATAGGGTGCCAGCAGGGAAGAACTTAATCTTCATACAAAGCTGACCCTCTTAATAAAATAAGCTGAACCCCCTCAGTAAACTTTTAATGTGGCGAGTAATGTAGATTACTTCCATGCTTGAACATGGAATATTTTCAAAGCAGTGAAAAACTACACAAGGGAACTCTTAAAAACACTTAAGGGGTTTACAAATAACAATGAGCACAAATAGTCTTTGACATGTCTGGTCCTGCACTTGTCAAAGAACCTTATGCATGTAAACTCAATCTTCTTTGGTAATTAAAATACCCTGGGGATCATTCAACTGCTGCTCGTCGACGAGTCAGGTTGGGCTTATTCAGATCTCAAAGTTTGCCATTAATATCTTCACTTACAGGTCATACAAACTGACCAAGCCTTGGAATTGATTAGGATGAAGCTTTTTAAGCTTATTTCGGTCCATTTTCCTGTAGAATTGTAGAGTTAGAGAGACATTTATGAAGCAGAAGCGGTTTGGTGCTACATAATAGTAAAAACTAGGAAATAACTTTTTCGCATCACAAATCTTCTGGAAAAACAATTAAAATATTTCTGGTTCTAGTTCGTCTTAAAAGGCTTTTGTTTAAAAAAGTAACTAATGACATCATTGACTGGATCAAGAGATCGGTATCATCTTATTCGTTTAAATTTTCACGTTTTTCGCGAATTGACAGATTGAGACGAAAATCGTGTCCATATATAACAGCTATAAGTTTCATTTCTATGGTTTACATAACTACAATATCTATATCGGAAACTTCTTGCTCTAGTTTTTTCCAGAAAATCTTTAGTTTAGTGGATGGGGGAAGACTAGTGTAGCCAATGTTTCCAGTGGAGAAACGAAACTTATCTTGAAGGTTCTATGGAGAATCTGGATGATAGTTAAACGTGCTTAAACTGTCCACAAGCGAATGACTGATTGCGTTTGTATCTTATCTAAAGTTTTCTGTTTGAAATACTTTAGGGAGGTAATTGATGATTCATAGCTTCCGTGGAATGTTATGAAAAAAAGAACCTATGTTGACGTACTCAGGCGAAATCTAATCGCTCTTTTTTCATTTAAGTCCACTTGAAATCGGGAATTAAGAATCTTGTGAAATATTGCGTAGCCAAAATCGCGAAATTAAGTAGGCGCCAAATTAATTACGAATAAGGTACCTTGAAATCACAGCAATGCTCTGAAAATTGACATTGAGTAACCTTGAGTAACCTTGAGTAACCTTAACATAATGCTTTTACTTACAGCGTCTTAAGCGCGGTGAGATTAGAAAAGATCTTTGGCGGTAACTCCTCGATTTGGTTTTCAGGCAGAAATCTACAATTTGAAAGGATAAGCTGCAACAACATGTTATAACATGAACAGAGATCAAGAGTATTCATGATACTGTGAAAAACGGCTTCTCACTGTTGTATTTGAATTATGCGCACAAGATACAACTAAAACTCGTAACTATTTCTTGTAAACCAAAATGGCAAAGAAATGCATATAACGTTGCTTATATACCACTGTTAAAAAGAGTCCTACTCACAGCCTTTTAAGGGTTGCAAGAACATCAAAAAGTCCTTCTGGTAAACGTTTTAGTTTATTGCTGGATAAATTTCTAAAGGCGACAAATAGATTGATATTAAGTAGTTTTTATTCTACAATCGATCGATTGATCAATTGATCGATCGATCAATGGACTGCTGAAATAATCTTACCGTTCCCAATCCTGCTGTGGGACTGGGGAAATTGGTTCGTTATATCGACAAAATTCCCTTAGCTGTAACAACGTCAACAAAACAAATAGGGCGTGTAGGTTGCTCGCAAAGTAAGATACAAAACAGAGTTTTTGACAAGGAGGCTAATCTAATCTGCGCTAATGCAGAGCCCAGAGGTGTCGTTCACAGTTGGATATCGAGTGCAGAAATTAAGAAAAGGAAAACAAAACTGACGATTCCTATACTACTTTTAACATGAGATTGAATGAAGATACAATTTGCAAGCCATTGTTAACAAAAGACATAATTCACTCTATGAAGGAGTCCTTGTTATTTTTCTGGGGGGGAGGGGGGGCGGGTTGGAAGTGGGGGAGGGGAGGCGTTCGCTGGGCGTCTATTAGACAAGGGACGTTTATTAGAGGGAAACTTCGAATACAAATTTTACTCTTGAGAAAATGGGGCATTTATTAACTACGAGGCCTTTATTTAAGAGTGGAAGTTGATTAGATTATTCACGGTACGGTAAATATCTAATCCCACCCAACAAGAGGGACAGTGTTTCATCGGAATATCGAAACATCGAGCAGAGAGTTGAAAATACGACGCGTAGCCGAGTATTTTTGACAAAATTCGAGATATTTGGATAGCCGATAAAACACTGTCTCGAGTGTTTGATATACATTCTTAACCGAAACAAAAACTAAGGAGTAGACGGAGAAATAAAATTGTCAAACTCTATGCTAATTAAGACACGTATCCAAACCTCCTTCACGGTTGTGAGTTTTAACTGGATGGATTAATGAGTTTGAGAAGCAACGTTCCAAGCACATCAAATATAGTACAACTCTACTTGTACACTAATATAAATGCTGTAATCTTATTAGTCGAACTATCGCACACTATCAGCAATTATTTGCACTGAAATCTCGAGCAATCGAGCTAATGATCGGATTGTTAATTAGACATCCTTGAATATGTTGTTTATAAAGGGGGGGGGGGATGGGAGGAAGTTGGAAAGTTTGGCAGCAATTATTTTAAGACACTACGAAAGCCGAGAACTCACAGTTCATCCAAGTTTACTAAATCTTTAAATATAGTGGCAGGCAACTCCTGGATGTTATTGTCTTGCAACCATCTGAAAGAAAGATACAACGATATTAAGAGGGTCCTACTTAACTTCAGATTTAGAACAGTTGCTGAGGGCGATATTTAGGGGGAGCTATTTTGAAGCATTTTGCAGTGCCAAATGATGAATTTTAAATAAAGGATCGCTTGATTTGAGCAAAAAAACAAATGATTTGGCGTGCGTGAATTGTGCTAGTCACAAACCGCGCGTTAGAATTTTAAATCCATAGAACTTGGAAGGAAAAGGAAAAGTTTCGATTTCTCTCATGAATCAGAAATAACCTGGCCTTTTTTATAATCGTACGCATGGAATTACTGAGTACACGTAAAAGGGGAAAACTGCTGTAGAGGGTCTGTTTTTGCGGGTGTTCAATTTTTTACCTCATAATTTGTATCATGATGACATTGATAATTTTCGGATTTGGATGCCTCTTAAAGAGGCTGGCAACAGTTTCCAGCACCTTTCTAACAGCTTTACTTTGAAGGATGATTACTACCACTGTTTAACAAGTGATGCTACAAGTTGCAACCATCTTACTTTTCACATATTAGGTTACCATAGCAACGACATGCCCTGCTAAAAACACTCTTATATTTTAGCTTAAGCGCTTTTAACTCAAAAACGAGCTCGGTGACCCCTATTCTTTCTTATCGAATTGTGATAAGCATGATAAGATGCATCTTTTTGCAAAGTTTAAAGAAGTTCTGTGTCATGGGTTCAGAGCCACCTTATATTTTTGAAAATCCTATCAAAAGCCAAACGCCAAAAAACAGATCAGGTGGCAAATGCGGTCAAACCCAAGTTAATAAACACACTGAAATAAACTGCAGGAACAAAGGAACAACCTAAAACACCTTTAAGGTTGCAAGTTATCACATATTACTTGCCGTTTAAGAATTACAGCTGATTAAACTGCCACAGATTACGTAATTTATGCATTTCAATCTTTATTTATACTAATTATAAATAGCTTTCTCTTGAGTTAAATATGAAAGTAAAAGACTCGATATTAGAGATGTAAACTTCTATCATTACAAATTTCTGTTGATATAAATGATCGAAAAAATTGTTCAACACAAGAACAATGTTGAATTCGACAGTCAACTACCACCACTCACTCCCTCAAAACGTTGTAACGGCTTACTTATTGTACCGGAGATAACCGGTATCTTCGAAAACTTCCTATATTTAGGTAAGCCTTATGCATTCAGTCACACCTTCAGCATGAAGTTCGAACTCCTTAGTAACAAAATTTAAACTAAGTTTAAAGTAATTTAGACTTTGAATGGTACGGTGGAATACGGGTGTCTAGATTATCATAGTCTTCACTTACAGCTCTTTCAAGTTCCTCAAGCCATGAAACAATGTCTCGTTTAATCCTTGAAGCTTGTTGTTTTGCAATTGTCTGTGTCAATTAGAAACAAATATTGTAATACATGAGGATTTACACCTCATGAACATTATATTTTCCTATATCATTTTTCTAAAAAGATATACCTAATTGAATGGAAAACTGTTCTATTAGTGTTTTACTGCATTATGCCATAACTTAAAAGTTCGATTTGATAAACCCGATAACTTCTTAGTCCTTGATTGAGGTTGCTTTTTAGCAAGAATCTCAGCACAATTGAAAACGTGTTGAGTCTATCCACTTCATCCTTGGTTTCATAGACCCAAAACTTGATTAGACTGGTCTTTCTCAAACTCGATAATTTATTAAGTTTGAACAAGGTGATCATAACCATGACGGTGTTTGATCTTACCAAGCACAGATTTTTACGTAACATTTCTCCATTTTATAACACTCCAGGCACTGTTTCACCACATTTCTAGTCACCTTGAAATTTGTCTAAAAAAGTCTGCTGCCAGTCTTATTTTCAATTATTAGTGTATTTAGGGACTTACAGCTTGATGAGTTTGGTATTGTTGCTGAAAATCATGGGTGGTAAGTATTGTAACTGGTTATCACTCAGATACCTAAAAGCATCATTTTAATTGAAGGTAAGTTTATGACAATGACAAATTCATTGATAAAGATGGCAGATCCAATGTGCGGCAATTGGGATTTCAAGACAAAAACTTTCAGGTGAGGCGACATCCTCATCTGACGTTCCTTGCCTCAAATAAATGTTTTGGAGGCAATATATACCTTGTAAGCTCATTATCATTGCGAAACTATTCTTGAAGTTAAAGACGGAATGGAGATTCACTCTTCGCCCCCCTCCCCCCAACTCCATCCAGCGGAAGAAGCTCAAAACGTCCGGTCTGAACGGGACTAATGAGGTCAAGAGACGCCCATTATAGACGTTTTAAAACATTGATGTGTTTAGTAAATGGTTTGAGCCCAGGAGTATCAATAGTTCGTATGCTACGATCGTCCTGGTGAGGGTAATTCTGAACTGATGTTGGGGTCTGACGTTTCGAAAACCTGAGGGCGATTCATGTTCAGAGTCAAGTGAAAAGCGTTTGTCAAATGATTGGTGGTGTTGTAAGTCTTGCCCGTTGAAACCGCTTAGTCGGTTTAACCGTAATGGTATTGGCTAAAAGACTCGTGCCAACAGTCGCTGGTTGGTTCTAGTAACTTTCGATCCGTCCTTTGTCAGTCAAATTGAATCGTTCAGTTTGAGTTCTGTTCTTCGGCTTTTTGTTATGTCGTGAATAAGTCCTAGCAAGGTGTTGGCAGTTGTTGCTATCTGTTGAGAGGCATTTGTTTTAAGTTGGTGAACCAGCTCTCCAGTCCCAATTAATACTGTGGTCTGTCAGTTGATGATGTTCAGCAATACGATAGTTTAAATAATTTTGCGTTGCCCGTTTGTGTTCCGTCAGTTGTGTTAAGACTTCTGCCAGTCGGAACATTTGATCCTGTATGCTGCTTTACTCTGTTGCTTTATTTGTCCCTGTCATTCATGGTGGTCAGTTATTGTTTAAGTACTTTGTCTATATAAATATGTTTGAACATTAAGAAAAACGCAAAACACCAAGGGTTTTGAAAATAGTATGCCTTTACACTTCTACAGTTAGTCTCTCGATTCTTTAATGTTCATTCACAACCCTTACTGAACCGTAGAAGAATTGACGAATGGGTGGAGCCCATTCCTTTTAGTTTGTTATAAAAAGCGGTGACCTTTATACCAACAGGCATGCCATACAAGTATCAAACCAAGTTGTAATGGTAGCCTCAAAGATCGTTAACAAAAAGTTGTTACATCAATATTTTTTTCCAAGGATCTACTGAAAGTGTGGCAATCCCAGTGCGAAGCAAGAGTTTTAAATCTGCTATAGAGGAATATCGCTACAAAAGATAGCCAAAACGCGGCAATTTTATATGGGTGGACTTGAAGAGAGAGATCGTATCATAGACTTAAGAAAGAACGTTGCGTTGTAATTGTAGTATTATCATGACATTAACAGCTCTCACCGTCACGCAATAACGAAGGACTTTCGTAAGGACAAAACTGTAACATATAGAGCAACCTGACACCTCTGTAGTGTTTGGCTGTATTTGTTTGGGTGCTTATCAAAACTCTCTAAAATGAAGAATGCTTATCATCCACGCAGCTTTAGCGGCCTCCTCTATCGCTAAAACATTCAAGGAGCACAAGGCAGCCGAAGTTTCAATGGCCAAGGCTTGATTTGGTGTCCTAATCCTACCTTACAAGCTAGGCCAAAGATGGAAAAGTAGAGAATCATAGGAGGCCTAATGCAGACAGGTCCCCCAAATACCAGAGGGTAGGACTAGGAGTGACACCCCCAGTGAAATAAGTATTTCAATCTCTCTTCATAGAGATTTCAAAACAGTTCGACTGATATGGGCATTTTTTTACCTCAGAGGTAACAGATTATTATTGTTAAGCCAGAAAATACGAAAGACTCTCCTAAGAAAACCGTTGTGGAAGACACTGATCTTGTTCATATCACCTTTTACCACTCTCCAATAGTCGGAGCCGTACAGCAGAACTGGCTTGACCGTAATGTTGTATAGTCTAAGCTTCCTCCTTAGGCTGTACTGCTTCAACTTTCGTACAGGCTGGAGTCTTGAAAATGCACCGCGAGCTTTCCCAACCCTTGCTTTGATGTCCTTTTGGGCTACATTGTCCTTTGAGACAAGGCTTCCCAAGTAGCTGAATTCCTCCACCAAGCCAACTGGTTCACCATCTGCTCTAATAAGTGCATCCGGGAATTGCATTGATGCACATAACCAGGGTCATTGAGGCGTTGATGGACAAGCCTACCTGCTTCACACACCTGCTGAGCCTCGCGGTCTTCTCCCATAGGAGGCAACGAGTTGTGAAGAGAGCAGCAAGGTCATCTGCAGGGTCGAGATCTTCAAGCTGGGAAAAGAGTGTCCACTCGATGCCTCTGGTTCTATCAGCCATTGTCCTACGCATGATCCGATCAATGAGGCAACCAGAAAGAGGATACGAGAGACGACACATTTCTGTTGCACACCAGACTCCACAGAGAAGAAATCTGACAGGTTTCCATCTAGAATGACACTGCACTCGAACTGTTGGTAGAACAACCCCATTGAGTGTGACCATCTTTAGAGGAACCTCAAACAGATGGGTGTTACTGTATGCACGTGATACCTAAGCTCAAACCTTTTAATGAGTTTCGACAAAACTAATCTATAATTATTCAGTCCTAACGAGTTTGTAGCAACTAGAATTTCAGTGACATAATACCCACTAATGTACTAGTCAGAGATAATAGCGAAGACAAATCTCATATGTCATCGACAACCCGTTTGATATCAAAGCTGACATCTTGGATTGAAAATATGCAAAAGAAGTAATCTATGAAAAGAAGAGAGAGGGTCACCGACCATTTAAGATAATAAACTGCAGGTGAAGTTAACGCAACCGGTACCAAACCTATACTTGCTTACATTTCTTCCTTACCCACTCGCTTTGTAAATAATCTTAAAATTGTACGTAAGATCTCTCAAGATTCAATAATACTGCTGTGGCCAGGAGAAACCTGGTTCTCACACTCGGGCATTACAGCTATAGCATTGACTAGAAAATCATCCAACCAACCATAAACTTACACCATCATCAAGAACAACAATGAACTTCGCATAATGGTCTGTCTAATGGTGTGATGTCGGACGACTAAACCGACGAAATCAAACATAGATGTAAAAGAAAACTCATCAAGACCCTCATCACTTCTTGGAGAGAGGGAACACAAAAACGGCTTAAACATACATTATATTACTGTAGAAAGTGGAAACCCACTTTGCATCTTAGCCCTTTGAGACGCATCTCCAGCCAACCAGCCAACCAACCAGCTAAACAACCGACCAGCCAACCAACCAACCAGCTAACCAACCAACCAATCAACCAACCAACCAACCAACCAACCAACCAACCAACCAACCAACCANGCTGGGCGTCTATTAGACAAGGGACGTTTATTAGAGGGAAACTTCGAATACAAATTTTACTCTTGAGAAAATGGGGCATTTATTAACTACGAGGCCTTTATTTAAGAGTGGAAGTTGATTAGATTATTCACGGTACGGTAAATATCTAATCCCACCCAACAAGAGGGACAGTGTTTCATCGGAATATCGAAACATCGAGCAGAGAGTTGAAAATACGACGCGTAGCCGAGTATTTTTGACAAAATTCGAGATATTTGGATAGCCGATAAAACACTGTCTCGAGTGTTTGATATACATTCTTAACCGAAACAAAAACTAAGGAGTAGACGGAGAAATAAAATTGTCAAACTCTATGCTAATTAAGACACGTATCCAAACCTCCTTCACGGTTGTGAGTTTTAACTGGATGGATTAATGAGTTTGAGAAGCAACGTTCCAAGCACATCAAATATAGTACAACTCTACTTGTACACTAATATAAATGCTGTAATCTTATTAGTCGAACTATCGCACACTATCAGCAATTATTTGCACTGAAATCTCGAGCAATCGAGCTAATGATCGGATTGTTAATTAGACATCCTTGAATATGTTGTTTATAAAGGGGGGGGGGGGATGGGAGGAAGTTGGAAAGTTTGGCAGCAATTGTTTTAAGACACTACGAAAGCCGAGAACTCACAGTTCATCCAAGTTTACTAAATCTTTAAATATAGTGGCAGGCAACTCCTGGATGTTATTGTCTTGCAACCATCTGAAAGAAAGATACAACGATATTAAGAGGGTCCTACTTAACTTCAGATTTAGAACAGTTGCTGAGGGCGATATTTAGGGGGAGCTATTTTGAAGCATTTTGCAGTGCCAAATGATGAATTTTAAATAAAGGATCGCTTGATTTGAGCAAAAAAACAAATGATTTGGCGTGCGTGAATTGTGCTAGTCACAAACCGCGCGTTAGAATTTTAAATCCATAGAACTTGGAAGGAAAAGGAAAAGTTTCGATTTCTCTCATGAATCAGAAATAACCTGGCCTTTTTTATAATCGTACGCATGGAATTACTGAGTACACGTAAAAGGGGAAAACTGCTGTAGAGGGTCTGTTTTTGCGGGTGTTCAATTTTTTACCTCATAATTTGTATCATGATGACATTGATAATTTTCGGATTTGGATGCCTCTTAAAGAGGCTGGCAACAGTTTCCAGCACCTTTCTAACAGCTTTACTTTGAAGGATGATTACTACCACTGTTTAACAAGTGATGCTACAAGTTGCAACCATCTTACTTTTCACATATTAGGTTACCATAGCAACGACATGCCCTGCTAAAAACACTCTTATATTTTAGCTTAAGCGCTTTTAACTCAAAAACGAGCTCGGTGACCCCTATTCTTTCTTATCGAATTGTGATAAGCATGATAAGATGCATCTTTTTGCAAAGTTTAAAGAAGTTCTGTGTCATGGGTTCAGAGCCACCTTATATTTTTGAAAATCCTATCAAAAGCCAAACGCCAAAAAACAGATCAGGTGGCAAATGCGGTCAAACCCAAGTTAATAAACACACTGAAATAAACTGCAGGAACAAAGGAACAACCTAAAACACCTTTAAGGTTGCAAGTTATCACATATTACTTGCCGTTTAAGAATTACAGCTGATTAAACTGCCACAGATTACGTAATTTATGCATTTCAATCTTTATTTATACTAATTATAAATAGCTTTCTCTTGAGTTAAATATGAAAGTAAAAGACTCGATATTAGAGATGTAAACTTCTATCATTACAAATTTCTGTTGATATAAATGATCGAAAAAATTGTTCAACACAAGAACAATGTTGAATTCGACAGTCAACTACCACCACTCACTCCCTCAAAACGTTGTAACGGCTTACTTATTGTACCGGAGATAACCGGTATCTTCGAAAACTTCCTATATTTAGGTAAGCCTTATGCATTCAGTCACACCTTCAGCATGAAGTTCGAACTCCTTAGTAACAAAATTTAAACTAAGTTTAAAGTAATTTAGACTTTGAATGGTACGGTGGAATACGGGTGTCTAGATTATCATAGTCTTCACTTACAGCTCTTTCAAGTTCCTCAAGCCATGAAACAATGTCTCGTTTAATCCTTGAAGCTTGTTGTTTTGCAATTGTCTGTGTCAATTAGAAACAAATATTGTAATACATGAGGATTTACACCTCATGAACATTATATTTTCCTATATCATTTTTCTAAAAAGATATACCTAATTGAATGGAAAACTGTTCTATTAGTGTTTTACTGCATTATGCCATAACTTAAAAGTTCGATTTGATAAACCCGATAACTTCTTAGTCCTTGATTGAGGTTGCTTTTTAGCAAGAATCTCAGCACAATTGAAAACGTGTTGAGTCTATCCACTTCATCCTTGGTTTCATAGACCCAAAACTTGATTAGACTGGTCTTTCTCAAACTCGATAATTTATTAAGTTTGAACAAGGTGATCATAACCATGACGGTGTTTGATCTTACCAAGCACAGATTTTTACGTAACATTTCTCCATTTTATAACACTCCAGGCACTGTTTCACCACATTTCTAGTCACCTTGAAATTTGTCTAAAAAAGTCTGCTGCCAGTCTTATTTTCAATTATTAGTGTATTTAGGGACTTACAGCTTGATGAGTTTGGTATTGTTGCTGAAAATCATGGGTGGTAAGTATTGTAACTGGTTATCACTCAGATACCTAAAAGCATCATTTTAATTGAAGGTAAGTTTATGACAATGACAAATTCATTGATAAAGATGGCAGATCCAATGTGCGGCAATTGGGATTTCAAGACAAAAACTTTCAGGTGAGGCGACATCCTCATCTGACGTTCCTTGCCTCAAATAAATGTTTTGGAGGCAATATATACCTTGTAAGCTCATTATCATTGCGAAACTATTCTTGAAGTTAAAGACGGAATGGAGATTCACTCTTCGCCCCCCTCCCCCCAACTCCATCCAGCGGAAGAAGCTCAAAACGTCCGGTCTGAACGGGACTAATGAGGTCAAGAGACGCCCATTATAGACGTTTTAAAACATTGATGTGTTTAGTAAATGGTTTGAGCCCAGGAGTATCAATAGTTCGTATGCTACGATCGTCCTGGTGAGGGTAATTCTGAACTGATGTTGGGGTCTGACGTTTCGAAAACCTGAGGGCGATTCATGTTCAGAGTCAAGTGAAAAGCGTTTGTCAAATGATTGGTGGTGTTGTAAGTCTTGCCCGTTGAAACCGCTTAGTCGGTTTAACCGTAATGGTATTGGCTAAAAGACTCGTGCCAACAGTCGCTGGTTGGTTCTAGTAACTTTCGATCCGTCCTTTGTCAGTCAAATTGAATCGTTCAGTTTGAGTTCTGTTCTTCGGCTTTTTGTTATGTCGTGAATAAGTCCTAGCAAGGTGTTGGCAGTTGTTGCTATCTGTTGAGAGGCATTTGTTTTAAGTTGGTGAACCAGCTCTCCAGTCCCAATTAATACTGTGGTCTGTCAGTTGATGATGTTCAGCAATACGATAGTTTAAATAATTTTGCGTTGCCCGTTTGTGTTCCGTCAGTTGTGTTAAGACTTCTGCCAGTCGGAACATTTGATCCTGTATGCTGCTTTACTCTGTTGCTTTATTTGTCCCTGTCATTCATGGTGGTCAGTTATTGTTTAAGTACTTTGTCTATATAAATATGTTTGAACATTAAGAAAAACGCAAAACACCAAGGGTTTTGAAAATAGTATGCCTTTACACTTCTACAGTTAGTCTCTCGATTCTTTAATGTTCATTCACAACCCTTACTGAACCGTAGAAGAATTGACGAATGGGTGGAGCCCATTCCTTTTAGTTTGTTATAAAAAGCGGTGACCTTTATACCAACAGGCATGCCATACAAGTATCAAACCAAGTTGTAATGGTAGCCTCAAAGATCGTTAACAAAAAGTTGTTACATCAATATTTTTTTCCAAGGATCTACTGAAAGTGTGGCAATCCCAGTGCGAAGCAAGAGTTTTAAATCTGCTATAGAGGAATATCGCTACAAAAGATAGCCAAAACGCGGCAATTTTATATGGGTGGACTTGAAGAGAGAGATCGTATCATAGACTTAAGAAAGAACGTTGCGTTGTAATTGTAGTATTATCATGACATTAACAGCTCTCACCGTCACGCAATAACGAAGGACTTTCGTAAGGACAAAACTGTAACATATAGAGCAACCTGACACCTCTGTAGTGTTTGGCTGTATTTGTTTGGGTGCTTATCAAAACTCTCTAAAATGAAGAATGCTTATCATCCACGCAGCTTTAGCGGCCTCCTCTATCGCTAAAACATTCAAGGAGCACAAGGCAGCCGAAGTTTCAATGGCCAAGGCTTGATTTGGTGTCCTAATCCTACCTTACAAGCTAGGCCAAAGATGGAAAAGTAGAGAATCATAGGAGGCCTAATGCAGACAGGTCCCCCAAATACCAGAGGGTAGGACTAGGAGTGACACCCCCAGTGAAATAAGTATTTCAATCTCTCTTCATAGAGATTTCAAAACAGTTCGACTGATATGGGCATTTTTTTACCTCAGAGGTAACAGATTATTATTGTTAAGCCAGAAAATACGAAAGACTCTCCTAAGAAAACCGTTGTGGAAGACACTGATCTTGTTCATATCACCTTTTACCACTCTCCAATAGTCGGAGCCGTACAGCAGAACTGGCTTGACCGTAATGTTGTATAGTCTAAGCTTCCTCCTTAGGCTGTACTGCTTCAACTTTCGTACAGGCTGGAGTCTTGAAAATGCACCGCGAGCTTTCCCAACCCTTGCTTTGATGTCCTTTTGGGCTACATTGTCCTTTGAGACAAGGCTTCCCAAGTAGCTGAATTCCTCCACCAAGCCAACTGGTTCACCATCTGCTCTAATAAGTGCATCCGGGAATTGCATTGATGCACATAACCAGGGTCATTGAGGCGTTGATGGACAAGCCTACCTGCTTCACACACCTGCTGAGCCTCGCGGTCTTCTCCCATAGGAGGCAACGAGTTGTGAAGAGAGCAGCAAGGTCATCTGCAGGGTCGAGATCTTCAAGCTGGGAAAAGAGTGTCCACTCGATGCCTCTGGTTCTATCAGCCATTGTCCTACGCATGATCCGATCAATGAGGCAACCAGAAAGAGGATACGAGAGACGACACATTTCTGTTGCACACCAGACTCCACAGAGAAGAAATCTGACAGGTTTCCATCTAGAATGACACTGCACTCGAACTGTTGGTAGAACAACCCCATTGAGTGTGACCATCTTTAGAGGAACCTCAAACAGATGGGTGTTACTGTATGCACGTGATACCTAAGCTCAAACCTTTTAATGAGTTTCGACAAAACTAATCTATAATTATTCAGTCCTAACGAGTTTGTAGCAACTAGAATTTCAGTGACATAATACCCACTAATGTACTAGTCAGAGATAATAGCGAAGACAAATCTCATATGTCATCGACAACCCGTTTGATATCAAAGCTGACATCTTGGATTGAAAATATGCAAAAGAAGTAATCTATGAAAAGAAGAGAGAGGGTCACCGACCATTTAAGATAATAAACTGCAGGTGAAGTTAACGCAACCGGTACCAAACCTATACTTGCTTACATTTCTTCCTTACCCACTCGCTTTGTAAATAATCTTAAAATTGTACGTAAGATCTCTCAAGATTCAATAATACTGCTGTGGCCAGGAGAAACCTGGTTCTCACACTCGGGCATTACAGCTATAGCATTGACTAGAAAATCATCCAACCAACCATAAACTTACACCATCATCAAGAACAACAATGAACTTCGCATAATGGTCTGTCTAATGGTGTGATGTCGGACGACTAAACCGACGAAATCAAACATAGATGTAAAAGAAAACTCATCAAGACCCTCATCACTTCTTGGAGAGAGGGAACACAAAAACGGCTTAAACATACATTATATTACTGTAGAAAGTGGAAACCCACTTTGCATCTTAGCCCTTTGAGACGCATCTCCAGCCAACCAGCCAACCAACCAGCTAAACAACCGACCAGCCAACCAACCAACCAGCTAACCAACCAACCAATCAACCAACCAACCAACCAACCAACCAACCAACCAACCAACCAACCAACCAACCAGCTAACCAGCCGGCCAAAGTACAACTGTTTTTGAAATGTCTCCAACTTTCTACCTTAACTTTTTACATCCGCTCCCGCGCCTTACATCTAACACCGTTTTATTAACTGATTAATTGTAATGATTAACTGTAATGTTGAAATTAGTCAGGACAATGGGAGCAATCTTTTTTGTCACAGGAAAAAAAAGGAGTGGAAAATTATCTGTTGTAAGAAGGCTGCTCTCAAGCATTACAGTTTATATTTATTTATTTTTATATTTCTAATTTTTACTTACAGCCACTGTAAGTTGACCAAATTAGAGAAGAGTTCATCAGGCAGCTCCTCAAGGAAGTTCACGTACATAGATCTGAGTCAAACGTTAAAATACACATTGATCAACATTTTTAGGTAGTTAATATTTCACAATATAAAATTTATTCCTCCACGCAGTGATGATTAAATTACAGGTGACGTTTTGCTGTTATATATTTTCTAAAAACCAAGAAAAACTTCTTCACTATTCTCATAAAAGGAAAAATGTAGGAATTAAGCAGAGGACTTTCTCTTCGGAGATATACACTGAAGCACTATTGACTTGACTTGTTCCATAGCAGCGGCTGAGTTGGATTTGCTAATTTGTTCCTTGTCGGACAATAGTACGAATGCAAACTAAACAAAAATGATTAAAGACCCCAGTCTCATACAAACTTAGACTCCTCAAGTCATTTCAAACAGGAAATAACAACCGATGTTAACTTCTCACTAACAGAGTGCGTAAGCTGCAGTGGGGATTTTTGGTTAATACTAATACTCTCCAGCGCAGACAGAGAAAGCTAGCTTAGTAAGTCCTTTGTTAGATAATAATAGCAATAATAATAATAATAATAATAATAATAATAATAATAACAACAACAACAGCAACAGCAATAATAATAATAATTATAACAACAACAACAACAACAGCAATAATAATAATAATAATAATAATAATAATAATAAGTGACATTTATATAGCGCTAATTCCGTGTAGCTCATTAGCACTTCACAATTTAAATGAGTAAATAAAAGCAAAACAAATTAGATGACAAACTCTGCCTGATTACTTAGTACACTTCAAGTTGCATCATTCAAAGTTATTCCCGGCATGATGCATTTTTTGATGACGAAAGCAACTCGTAAAGAATGAGCTCACATCGTTTATGAACAAGCCTGCATCTTGACCGAATAAACTTGGTCAATAAAGGATTTATTATATGGTTTAAGGGAAAATTTTTATTGCGAGACACAGCGGGTAGTCCCGAACGGATAAGATAACTCTATATTGCCCGCTAGGGTAGCCATTCGTCACCGCAGGACTTGGTTCATCTTGCACCCTTATCGGGCTAGACATACATTAAAGTAATTTCACCAGCTTAACATATAGTGTTCCGAGAATTCTTAATCAAACAAAGTGGATTAAAGAATTTGCCTGAAAATTTAATTTTAATCGGAGTCAAAGCTCATTACCGCAGAAAACACAAAATAGATCATAAAAAACCAGATTCATTGTTAATTACCCTCATCACTCCTGATAATACATCCAATACAAAATTTCGGACGATTTTATTTTCGGACAAAAAAGTGGCCGAAAGAAAAACCGTCCGAATTTTTTTTCGCGTCCAAAATTTTAAGCGTCCGAAATATTTACAATGCAGTATACAATTTTTAAGTAGTTCCAAAGCTGTTAATTTCCTCTATGAGAAGAACTCTAGTTAAGACACTAGCTAGGGAGTTTAAGTAGCCACGACGGCGACGGCGAGGACAACGTCGGATAAAAAATCATTTCATGCTATACCTACGAATGTCGCGGTACTCTAAGATCATTTACTTTCTTTATCACGAAAGTGAATCTGGAACACAACGATACATTTGAAACAAAAATTTGTAAAATTAGCCGTCGCCGTTCACGTTCTCCAGACAACGCAGAATCTGCTTATTTTACATTGTTGTTTTGCGGTTTTGCAGAGAACGGCAAAGAAATGTAGCAGCCATTGCTCTGTTCATTAAACCTCTTGTTTAGAGACGTTCCGTTTCCACTGCCGTCGTGGTTTTCTTAAACTCCCGACTGTTTGCGCTAAAATACCGATCGAATTGAACTAAAAGTTATATATTTGTGAATCACTTATCTAGACCATTCATCTGAGAAAGTTTGAGGAATTTGTTTTTTTCTCGTCCAAATGACCATAGTTCATAATTACAGAGGGTGGCTATTGATCTTCCAACTGCTTGAGATACGTAACAGCGTGATAGGATTTGTAAGTAAGATACCGTGTGTGGAAACCTAAATTCATCGAATTTTGCTGTATTCCGAAAAAAACTTGCGAAACTTCGCAGCAGCCGTGATGTTGCCAACTATCTAATAAAAATAAAACGATCCTAAAGGGCGTGGTAGCATGGGAAATCACAATCCTCAAACACATCTGCTTCCTCCTCTGGAAGTGTTTATCACACAGCTAGCCAATCAGATTTTAGAGAGGTTAAGCATGGCGTTTACGGCAAACGACAAACGACAAAAATTAAACTTTTGTCGTCTCTCATCAGCTGTGTGTACAGTAGAGTGAAATTATTTGTATTTGCAATGAATAGTAGGAGACGTTATTACATTTTTGTGGGCTTTATTTACGCCTTAGAAGAAAAGAACTGAAAATCAGAAAGTTGTCTTTGCCGTTTGCCGTCTGCCGTTAACGTCATGCTTAACCTCTCTTTTATCTCGGTTTGCCAAATTTTGGCCCATCTTAAGAGCGACTCTCTATAGGGACCGAGTGAGATTGCAAAAATGTGGCACAAGGTTGGAAAAATGGACCCCTTGATATTTCGTCCAGAGATAACCCATGGTATGCTAAGAATCGTGATATAAGTTTTAGATTCTAG